TTGAGATGAAACTACACTAAAAGAATGCTATTAGGTACAAACAAAATATCATAACTATAAATTATAACTGACGCTTATTAATAATTAATAAAAACGGGAGAAAATAAGAAAGATAAAAAATATTTAAGTCTAAATGCAAAGTAGGTAACACTTTTCGTAATTAGATAGGAGCCTACGCGTGGCGTGAGGTTCTGACGTATTTTCAGATAGTGTTAATTTCTAAGCTAAACCACGATTTTCTCAATATAACACACCGTCAAAGTGCCAATTTCGAGTTTCTACAGTAATACGTCAACCCGTCTATAAAGGCGCTGTAATGGCGACACGTGCGGCGGGCGTCGCGGCGCCTCGGCGCTAAATGCGCCCGCATGACTCGCCAAACGTTGCGTAACTCGTCACGTTGCCATTGTCTGGGATTGGGATGGCTCTGGGGAATATACGAAAACATGTATCAAACATGTAGTAGGTAGGTAATCACAGAATTGGAAACTTTTGTCCTGAAACCTAATAGTTTGATTCCTTAACACACCGGCGTAATCAGAACATTGCAGCTTTTAATCAATATAGTTCCGTGCTTAGACTCAATTAAACTTTGTCTGGTGGGTACATAAAATCTTATACTAGGTTAATACGTAGGAACCCTTACAAAAGATGTATGTGACTAAAATTAGCATGAGTCGACTCGTATTATTGCCTATAAATAGATTGGCAATATATCTCACACCGCTAATGCCACACTAAATGCAACCTGTCAGGTGACTATTAACTAGCTCGCAGCGACAGAAGTGATCACTCAGCCCATCACACTTAAATTATGTAGATAACATAATCATTAACGATGTGCCAACTTGTTGAAATGCCGTGGAGTGCACACTTGAATAGACTATTAGATTAGTTGTTGCTTAAATTACTTTTTCTTAGTTACGTTGGTCGGAAGGCGCAGCGTGGGACGTCCACCTACAAGGTGGACCGACGACATCGTAAAGGTAGCAGGGAAGCGCTGGATGCAGGCCGCTACCAATCGATCAACGTGGAAAGCATTAGGGGAGGCCTATGTTCAGTATGTTCAGCAGTGGACGTCCTATGGCTGACATGATGATGATGATGATGAGTTACGTTGGTACTGTATTGTGTTTAACATAAAATTAGGTTGAAAAAGGTTACACGTGTTTCAGATTCATTAGACTCGTTAAGACCGGATTAATTTTGTCAGTACGTGGACCGAAATACAACGACCCCTTGCCTTGTTGTATGACTAGTAAAACATACCTAAATAAAATAATATTTAAGAACTCTACTGTTTGTTTGATTACAAGTGCCTCTGTCAATTCGAATTAGCTACTCTTTGTAGCAATGCTATGTTGCTAATGTTATCGTCCATCGAAACTAATACCAATATTTATATCAAGATGATGCTTATCAGACAAAAGAACGCGTTTTTCTTTTATCTTATTAGGACTGACGTATCTCTGCAGGCTGCAAGTATGTAATTTGTAATGTTACTGTCTGATTCAATGTAGGTATTGCGTAATAAATATTTGTTAACCTGTAGGTACAATTATTGTGAACAAATGCTTGTACCCTTTTGAATACAACGCGTGACAACGCTTAGGCAATAAGCCCCAATCACAAACAAAAATAAAATGGTTAACCCTTCATTTGGCAAGACACAAATTGTTTGATTTTTTCAATAAAACCTATTTAGACCTAATTGTTACTATCAAATAAAGTTAATAAAAATAGTAAAAAAAATATTTGGTTGGTATTTTCGCGAAAAACGATTGTTGCTTATTTACCACATTGCCAAATAGGGGTACTTAAATAAAACATTGAGATATATTATAGAATTATTTTTTTTATATGAAAATCTTAAAAAAATCAATCGTATTTCACATTTTATGCATTAAACTTTTTTTTGGCCATTTTCGCAAAGTCGACAACGACCTTTTTCACCAACATTTGATAGATGACGTATGTCATCATACTTCACGATCAATATGCCGATATCAATATTTCTCTTTAGCTTCTGAAACTGGTATGTTACCGTTATCTTCTATAGTGTTGACTTTAACGCAAGAAAGATGTGTTTATCATTTAAATCAGTTCAGCGGTATAAGTGTGAAGACAGACAACACAGAGACAGACAGCAAATTCTTCCTCTCTCCTAAAATGGTGTGCCCGACAGGGTCCATAATTGCATCAAAAGTAATTACTATACCATCTCTATATCATTATTCATGTAATACATGATTGATTTATTGTGTATTGACACTCTTTTGTATTAACAAAAAGCTAAACCTATTTTGTTAGATGTTTGGCACTGATGCTTCTAGGCAACATCGAGGTTCGGAAGCATGTCATGTATTAGAAAACACAGTTTCTACGCCAAATATTGCTTTATATGATTATTTTGATTTATTATGAATAAAATTTAGACAAAACAAAAACAATTAGAGATGATAAAATAGTACAAAATCATAAAACTTCCGTCTTTGTTATTCTCATTGCGCGTCATCTTGGCGTCTGACAGAAATATTGATATGAAATCACTCAAAACTCAGTCGACGACCGATTTACTAGTGTTTTGCTGAACTAAGCTTCGTAACAAAATCGAATGATTTGCACAAAACTTATTATTTGGTGCTGTAGAAATATTCAAAGTGGTTGTTGCTTAAAAGCATCACTGCCAAATGAAGGGTTAAAAGTCGATCCTCAGATGATATAAATAAAACTCTCTATTAAATTAAATGACGCAAATGGGTTATTACTTTTTGACATTCATTAAAACTACTGACAACGCCACTCTTGTAGCGGAGTTTTGTGGTTTTGGGCTGGCACTGTATAGGTTTGTTGTCGACACGACAAGAAGATTTTTTGACATACTAAATTCTATAATTTTCCCTGAGAATTGAAGCAATTAACATACTTGACAATATGATATTACCCGCACGCACATATTATCAGGCACGTGTCTCTTTCATAGTATTGATTACTGAATGACTTGGTGCTACTTATCAGCTATCAGTTTAACGTGCGACGTGACTTCATAAACATAAATATTGTTCACTGCTCCTTGTATTTTTATATGCAATCACCTTTTTATCTTGAGTTAAGAAATAAAAAACTATATTGTAGGTTTTATATTAAAGTTTTTATAATAACGAAGTTCGGTTACATAAAAGTTTTTATCACTCTGATAGGTTAATTACGACCGAGTGTCAAAAGGGTTTTTACATCTTATTACGCTTTTTTACCTATTGGTTTTCATTAATGTGAAATCCAACCTATAGAAGCTCTACATTAAAGCAGTATTTTTTATTTTGTTTGGTCAAAAGTTATGTGCTACGATTTTGCTACGACGTAGCAATAAACTAAATTTCGTAGCAGGAATTGCTCTATTTCCATAATAGGGCTACACACCGTAAGACAAGGTCTTGTAATGAAAGCTGAAGTGAAACTAAGAATTAGCGAAAGCGTGCAATAGAGACCAAATACAGTTGTATGGATTATTTTGACGATTTGTAAGAACTTTCTAATTTAATTAGTCTAAGAACCTAAATGAAGATATTTTTATTTTGTAGGTAGGAAAGTTCCACTGCATCATTTATGTCATAATTTCGCTCTGATCAGTCACACATTCCCTTGTCTAGACAGTGCACATGACATCATCTTAGTGGAAATAGAAATGCCAAATTAATTGATTAATTGGCGGTCGGGTTGCCTCTATTCCATTCGTAACCGAAATACTGTTTTGCATTCTTCGGGATTGTTGTTTCACATAGACTGTAGTAGATATTGTATGATAGATAAGTTTAAAGATAGTTACGTGATCTCCGTGAACTCTACTTTTAATAAGCGTAGTTCTTTTGTTCTTTCGAATGTTACGCAATAGGGTAACCTTTAGACTGGTAAATAACGTTTATTAGTGTAGGGGTTACGGATTAAATGAGTGTCATCCCTAATTGAGGTGCGGTCACGTGGTACGGCGCGCGTGACGCGACGTCACACCGCGTCCGCGTCCGCCAATCAAGGCGCCCGCGACCTTCACCTTGAATGGAGCGCACGCGCCGCCGCGTAACGAGAGATTAATGGCTCTTTTTGTCACGCTTCACGTTTAGCGTCGCCCGCAGATAAGCGCCACGACAGTAGACAGTAGTCATAGATGTACACAACAAGATAAGAAAGTAGGTGAACATAGCAAAAGTCCCCGCCGGCTCAAGGGCTAAGGGCGGGGACTTTTGCTATGTTCACCTCCTAACTAGACTAAATAAAGTCCCAAGGTCAGAAATTGTGTTCTACAGTTTTCCATCTATAATGCTTTATTGACTGGACTAAAGTGAAGAAACTAAGAACATTGTTTATTGGACTTGCTAGATGACACCTATCATGTAGCGCCAAAACAAAAGATAACGTATTTTGGGTTGTTTGTTGATAACGATACATCATGTGATTGTTCGGAAAGTTTTATTTATTCATGAGATATAGGTATTTGCAGTTTTATCAAACTGAAAAGGCTTTCATTCTAGAACGTATCACTAAGCCAGCAGAATTCATTTTCAAGGCAGTAAATCACTTTGGACCGGAGATGTAACATTGTTTTTGCCATTAATCGATAGTGCTGTCGCCAGCCGATAACACTTCATGCGTGTTTAGTGTCTCTACTATACTTACTATGGTTAGGTATAATCTGATTGTTTGCACAAAATACGTACCTATATGTTACACACTGCTGGGTTCGATTCGTAGAAATGAAAAGGGCTAATGACTTATAAATATAAAAAATAATTGAGATAGATTTTTTTCCTTATTTTTCCTAAAGTAGTCATGACTATGTCCATCCTGCGGCGCCGGCTTATCCTTGAATTTTGGGACACGTTGTATAAGATACACGTGGCTCTACTTAGTACCTTCAATTAGTATTCTCGTGAAGCTTACACGTTTTGTACCAGTGTGATAATTAAAAAACAATGCACTAACGTTATAATTTTCAATTGTTACAGAGCAACAAACCGATTATGGAGAAACGAAGAAGAGCGCGAATCAACAACTGCCTCAACGAACTGAAGGCGCTCATACTAGACGCCATGAAGAAAGACGTAAGTTATTTTTAATTGATCCTCCCGACGGAGTGACCATCGTCACCCGCGGCCGATGCTCGCTGTTGAATGTTAACTACGCGAATATTAAACCACTTAATAGCCCCACAAATTTCATTAAAACCGCAAAAATACGCTTTAATAACGACCGCATAAACGCTGTTATAAATGAGAAGTGTACCTACAAAGTTGTAATTTTCTTTTAAATATCTTAACAAAATATACGATTAATAAAATTTGCATTTTACGGTCCCTTGGAGATATTTAGTTATAATAATGTGTTGTTTTGTTGCAGCCGGCTAGACATTCGAAGCTGGAGAAGGCAGACATTCTGGAGATGACGGTGAAGCATTTGGAAGGTCTTCGGTCAGAGGGGGCAGGGTCTCCAGATCGGTTCCGAGCTGGCTATAGGCACTGCCTCACGGAGGTGGCTAAATACCCTGGGTTGGAATCTGGCCTGAAGAGAAGACTCGTGAAGCATTTGGAGAGCTGCGTTGGCAACCCTAGCACGAGGCCGGCCGGAGCCCCCACTCCGCCCTCCGACCCTGAAGACAATGCCGTTCCTGCTCAGCATTCAACTATTTTTATTTCGGGTAAATATCGTCACGACAGCTGTCTTTCAATCTTAGATTACCTTCCTTTAGTTTAATTCCTAACGATGTGTTTTAACAAATTCTCTAACAGTCACGCTTTTTTACAGCCGGTCCTGGGTCAGGCGTCCGATTGGTGCCAACGAGGTTATCAAACGGCGACATTGCCCTGGTCCTTCCAGCTGGAGTCAACGCCGGCACTCTGGGCGCTGTGCCGACACTGGTGCCTCTGTCTCCAAGAGACGCATCCTCTTCATCAGCATCGTCAGAACCGAGATGCTTTTCACCAGCAAGTTCAGGGTGGGGGAGTCCGCCGCCGTCTGTAGACGAACCAGCCCCATTAGCCTTGGTTACCAGGCGACAACCACCAGAAGACAAGCCATGGCGGCCGTGGTGACACTACCTCTGTTTGAGATATGCCTATGTCGTTTATAGTTAGATTTTCGGTTTGGGGGTCTTTAAACCACGTTTCTAGTGAGCGCAAGAACATCACGTACAGATTTAAAACGTTCTTGCTAGTACAAATATAAAACAACCCTCCATCCCTAGGTTGCATTCTGTGATATAATTTTAATGCTAGATGTAAGGTTATCTTTTTAAAGGTGTGATTGGAGTTGTATATCGGAATGTTCCCGTAATAATTGCAATTAGAGATAATTTTAGTTGACCGTAAACTGCTACATGTAATGTTGTATAAACCATGAAGAGTGGCATATTTATTACAACTCTTACGGCTGATATGTGATTATATGAAAAAGCTTTGAAGTTCCTAGTATGAATGTAAATCGAGATTTAAATATTTATGTAGGTACCANGCCACTAATGTGTGTGGTATCTAATTTGGTCAGTATATATTTTGTGTGATATCTATTTGTTTAAGAGTAAGTAAACAAATTAAACAATATTGAAATGATTAATAAAGCAAGGCCATTTAATATGTTATTAAATGTATATTAATGTTAGTTATGAACTAGGATATTTTTGTAAATACAAGGATGACATCTGAGGCAGTATTTCATTTATGTACGTAAAAGGACTATGTCCGAATTATTTTATAAAATTAAGTAAATAAATACTTAACAAATAATAGTTTATTTAGTTCATTCCTTTTATTTAGGACTTAGTGCCATGTATTTAGTATACATTTTATTGCTTAAAGTTTTTTTGTTTACAACAAGGACTAGAGTAAGCAAAAGGTACATAAATAAATGCATTGAGTGCGTTTTAATTATTTTTGCTAAGTAATAAAGATTAACATAGAATGAATTCTATGTGCCTTATACAGCAAAATCGTAAGGTCTTCCATAGATTATGTTTTATTTAGAGTAGTGTTATATGGATTTTATTTTATCGCTAAAAGTATAACATTAAATTGCTCAATACTATAATAGTTTGTTACCGAAATACCAGTAGTAGTCATATCGTCTTCCTTTCTCAGTTACCGTTCTTAACTGTAATTTTATTAAAGGTATAATATTTTTAACAATATTTTTACTAAAGGTACAATTTTCTGTATAATGTAGTTACATGTCATGTTAAATTGTGAAACAGGCTTTCATAATTTATATTTTGGTGAGTCGGTGTAGAGTTATTTTCGTATCTTATTTTCTCATTAGTGTCGTGTTGTACGAAATATGTTAATTTTAATTATTACACTTTATGATTGTAATAAAATATTATTCGTTCTCTCTGTGTACTGAGAGAAGTACCGTGATATTAAATAATTATAATATTAGATAGAATAAGATGATGTACCTAAAAGAAATACCTACGCCATTAACTTAAAACAATAAATAAGATTTGAAAACATTTTTTGTTTTTGTTACTAACCTACATCGTTTATTAGATTAGGTTAAGCGAAACCAAAACGTTATAAATAAGTATAAATAACATAAACAGCTTAACATATTTTGTCCCACATAATTTTATTGTAATTTTTTCTTACCTCAATAGAAAACATAACGAATGAGGTGTCAAAACTGTCCAAGTCCAATTTAGAAAGATTATTATATTATTTTTAAAACGAGACTGAACAGGTAGAGTCAGCCAATAAAACATGTTCACATACTTTTGATTAATTATTATGAACGACAACGAAAAGGTATTTTGTTTTTGAACGTACNAATTGGCGCAGTCGGTAGGATACTCAAGCCGCCTTGAGTGTAGATTCACTAGGAAATTCTCACATCGAGTTCCCGTGAAATCGCTACCGTCGCGAGCGAACGCGAGCGTCCTTGGGTATCCTGAACAAGAACCTGGAGTCCCGGCTGGAGGAGAAATCAAGACATCGATTCCAAAAGTACCAGAATGCAGTTTATGTAAGTACACCGAAACCATTTCTGTGTTGCTTCCTTCTTATTCCTTAGTTTCCTTAATTATTCACCATTTTTCATCCTAAGCAAACTACCCCTAGTGGGCCTGCTCGATCTAGACAAGCCCGTAGGTTAGATTTAGATACGAATAGGGATATTAGTGTAGATTTAGATAATTCATTTGTTAGCCTAGACGATTCAGGGAGCTCAGTTGTTTCCGCAATGGCAGATGTCGAAACTATCTATAAAGCCTTGCGTTTAGTCCCAGATTTTGACGGTAATTCTCATGTTTTACCCCGATTCATCCACCTGTGCGATCAGATCGCGGCCGAGTATACTCAACAAAATCCGGCCAACGCATTAGCAAATCTATGTCTCGTAAATGGCATATTAAATAAGATTACTGGACCAGCCGCGCGAATAATAAATTCAAACGGCATAACTGAGGATTGGAATAGTATTAAAATTGCACTAATTAATAATTTTTCTGACCAAAGAGATGAGACCGCTCTTTATAATGATTTAATGTTAGCTACTCAAGGGAACAGCTCGCCCCAGGAATTTTATGATCATTGTACTAATTTATTCAGCACAATCATGACTTATGTCACCTTACATGAAAGTATTCCAACTACAATCGAAGCTAAACGCGATCTCTATAAGAAGTTAACGATGCAAGCTTTTGTCCGTGGACTCAAAGAGCCCTTAGGGTCCCGTATAAGATGCATGCGTCCTGATAGTGCTGAAGAGGCCCTACAATTTGTGCAAGAGGAATTGAATGTGATGTATCTTCAGAATCGTAACGACTCAGTAGATAAAAAACAACATATTGCACAATTATTAAAACCTACACAATCTGCCCCGACTTTGCCCGCGTTTAAACCATTCAATTTCCCTTCACAGGCCACCCTTGTGCCTAATTCGAAATATTCACAATTTCAAGTAAAACCAAATTTTTATACTCAACCTAATTATCCCGTTTCTTACAAGCCTANTGTTTCTGAACGTACTTGTCATAATAAATCGATCGTTGTTATTGAGTAGGGATAATTAATCATTGCTCTTGATGTGAATGCTAATCAGCTGGCTCAACGCCTCTGGAGAATGTGGCTGTGCGCGTTTCAGTTCTTTGTAGAGAGAGCATATCAGACTATACGATTTTAGTTGCAGAATAGTACCTATTACAATGCCATAAGATGCCTCAGTGTACAGCTTGATGTGCAGTTTGCTGTACACACAAAGAACAGCATAAGAATTTATGCCCAAGTTCAATTATTATTTCATTACAGAACGTAGAGTTTTGCTGTCGACTACAGGCTATGTTCAATTCTACGAAATTAATCATCTTATTTTAAGAAGAATTGCACATTAAGCACTCCTTTACATTCTTACACACACAAGTTACCTATAATTAGGAAAGATACAGAACGATTGAAAAAAACAATTTTTATAGTAGAGACTTTCTGTTGCAGATCTCACTTATTTTATTTTCTGTTATTGCCAATTTTCTGTCGCTTATACATATTACATAAAAAATGCATCTATTTTTAGTGTATAAACACTTTAAGATTAATAATAATTGAATGTAAGCTGTATGCCTGCTACATTTAAGTAAAGTGTTAATGATATCCTGGGGCGACTCCCATTTATCGCTATCGTAAGTAGAGCTGATGGTCTGACTCACATTTCACGCAGATACTTTTTAAAATAAAGTACCTAACCACTAAGTAGTAGATAAATTGCTTAAAATGTATTTTAAAAATTTAAAACTGCGTGCAAGTCTCGGTCAACCTACTTTATCTTTCGGAGAGTGCACCTATCAATAAGCCCTGAGAATAATTGGATCATTATTGACAGCCCCAGTAATTTATGGAGCCCGGTTCAACATTTTTATTATGACGCACCACGCCGATGTAAAACATCACATACTTTTAAAATACCTACGCTAATTATGCGGTCCTAAAAGAGCGCGACACTAGCAAAGGCAATAACATTATGATGTTAAAGCTGTAAATTCTTTGGGCTTTTATTGCTTTATCTTTTATTCCTATACGATTTGGGCAAATTCGTTAGTAAATTGAAATTCTTGTGGCTAAATAGAGATTGAGTAACAAAATGCTCACAGCGTAACTGTGTTCTCAGCGTGAACCTCTCGGAATACCTACGACAAGTCATCATCTGCAACTTGCGCAAGGAAGGCTATATAACTACCTACATTAGCTTGAGATTTAAAGTCACCATTTGTCATGAAGTCATTTTTGTCATAACTGACCATTATAACACCAAAGATGAAGTGTTTAATTGTTTCACGATGGGTGGCCGGGAAATGTATCACACACGTTTGTTGTAACTGGAGCTTATAACCCTAAAACGGATAACTAAATGTTTTGAAAAATAGAAAAAGGGGCTTTCTGTGTTACTAATAGAGCTTAAAATGGATTTTTTTCTGCATGTCATATAAACCTGTCTGGATTTGGAATCGCCTATATGTTTGCACTGTCCCGACGCTAATACAGGGTTGGTGGAGAATTATTACGGCAACAGCTGTAATTTGCCACAATCACTGCTCTGCGACGATTAAATTTTAAAATGCTACAGCGTGGGTGCACTCTCACTACGCGGCAAACAGCACTCAGAATTTTCTAAAAACTAAAAAAATAATACTTAATATTACAGTGTCAGTGCTGTCAGCATGTAATATTAAAATAACGTCTTCTTCCTACGTCCATGGTTTTTCTGATAGCGTGTGATGATCTCAGAAAATATTTTGCGGTTTTAATATTTGCATCGGCCATTGCGTAAATAATGAGATACCTATGTTAACTTATTGTTTACTTAATAATATCATGGTACAAAAACTTGACTTAAAATAACCACAAGGAAACTGTATCAAAATGCAAGTTCATATTTTTAACCGACTTCAAAAAAGGAGGAGGTTATATGTTCGGTTGTATGTATTTTTTTTCCATTGGTCATTTTGGTTGGTATCTCTTTAATGATTCTTACTGATTGAATTAGCAAAAAGGAGAGTCTAAAAATTAGTATTTATCCTAATCCTCTAGAGTGCAGTCCAAAATTAATTAGTATCCAAGTTGGTATTTTTAAACCAAAAACAATCAAGAAACAATATGCAAGCATTAGTTTCGAAAAAGATATGGACACGGTTTATCTTGCAGCGCCGTATCAGCTGCTCACTGCGGCCGTGAGGGCTCTTACATATTCATGAGATGACGTGTGTAATGCATCGGTATCGGCTCTAACAACCGAAAGTAATTGAAAAGTGATTCCTTATGAATTTGTGCAGCATCCGCCGAGCCACCCAAGTCGCGGCCGGCAGCGCAGCGCCGCGCCCCACTACAGTTTACGTCCAATGTTTGAAGGCATGTAATTTCTCGTAAGTAGTGGCTAATTTCACTGATATTAATTGAGATATTTTCTAAATTACATCGTTAAGTTAATTGAGAAATTTTGTCTTTAACCGTTTTGGGTTTAAAAAGGTTGATGAGTAAGTCGAAAGTGATCGGTAGGGTTCGGGTTTATTGCCTATCATTGGGACCGGGCATCGAGTTGCATATAAATTGAAGATGTCGGGCGAATCGTCGGCGCGCGGTTGACTGACGGCACCTCGTTACAGCAAGATCGTGGTTGCTCGTTGTCATTCTTATCTTTTTTGCTCGTGTCAGCAATGGAGGCCTATTAATCAGCGTTATGACGCGTGACAAGACGTAATGAGAGCCGGGGGACGGATCGCATGCAAATTGTGGACGTTCGCAGCATTGATTACGCCTTGTATGATGCTAATTGAAATGGGTTATTCTTTTGAAAACAATCCTTGTAAGGTAGTGAACATGCCAGTGTTTACAAAATATAATACATGTAACCGGATCGCAACTCATTAAAGCCTAATTTGAATGACAGGAGTTCATGAGAATTGGGCAGAGAATTTGAGAGAAAAACATTTTCCTTGACTTTACAGGTAACACCGTATAAGGTAACGTCTCAAAAGTTCTAAGGAAACCTTAGGCATTTGAAGTTTGTTTGTTCTGCATCACTTTTTTGGCGAAGGCCGAATTGTATGTAGCTGCATCTACGAGTAGGTGGTCGACCACCGGTGCTCCTTGAATTCTGCTCGCTGTAGTGTTTGGCCGCCAAGGCTTAGAAATTTGCAGAATTCGCCTTTGCTTGAGTAATACGGTTTTCGTAGAAGTGGCCGAAGAATTTGCCATATAAATTGCAGTTGTTTGCGGTTTTTGGCCTCGTAGGGTTGCACAATGGGTTTTCAGAATTTATTATGTAATTTATATACGCAAGTAGGTAGGTTGTAGTTACACACTTAAGAATAGGTAGGTAAGTAATATCAAGGTGTGTCATCACTAAAGTAATAACTTTACAGAACTTTCTTACACTTTCTTACCCTCTCTCACCGAAAAGCTT